TTAATTTTTTTTTTCCAAATCAGTTTGAGGTTTAGTTCTTCAATTTTGGAATCCAACGAAAGTTTATGTGGTGAATAATATTATTCAACGAGCTAGCATTTTGTACTGTTTCTGCGAAATTCACAGTTGTGAAAGACTCAACGTGTTCTCTGAAAGAGAGAGGAATCTGTCCGTCCATCCAGATTCAATATTCTTTTCAGAACTCTTATTTCTTCCTAAATTTTCCGGGGAAGTTTTCGTTTACTTCACTTCTGGTACGTTCGTCTATACTCATTTATATTAAAATGCAAAATATGCGACTGGTCAAAGACGAAATTCCCATTTCTATTTTACAGTTCTAGTATTATTTCTTGAAAACACCATGCTCTCTCATATGTGTCCGCAGGTAAAAAAAAGAAAAATAATATTAAAAATTAAAATATTAATAATTTGAAAGAATGAACGGAAGACTTATTCGTTAGTTTTTGAATTATTTTTTATTAAGAAGATTCTATAATTAGATATTGGTTGAACAGGTATTGTGATTCCGATATTTGATCTTGACCTTGTTAGGTGAGTCATGATATAGCAGTGCAAATTCAATATGTCACTTTGAATTTACGAATTGCTGTTTACTTAATTTTACCTCTCAAATCAGGAAGTGTTAAATTGACATACTGTACATTTATTTTAGATTTATCTGACACAAGATTTTATAATAAAATGAATGTATTAAAATATTGTGTGAAATGAGTGTATTTTTGGACCTTAAGTCAAACCTATTAGATCACACCTCATAACGCTGTTTACATTCTCTTCACAGTCTACTACACCCTTTCTCCTCTTTCAAAGATACTTGAGTATGGACACTACACAAGATATATAATTTTTTCAGTATTATCTAAAGGTGCATGACATTCAAGATCAAAAAGCTCCCATCTATTTTTTTCTTTCTTCTTCTTTATAGCATATTCTTTGAAATGGTGATTAAGAGGGTGTGCATATTGGGTGGAGGAGCTGTAGCATAGAAGAGGAATCTCCGCTGTTCACATCCAACTTCAATACAAAAGATGAGTTGTTTCTTAATTTGACTATATTGTACTACAAAAGATGAATTGTTTCTTAATTTGACTATATTTCGTTGAAAAATATCCATTGGCTTTATAGTTTTTTTAATTTTTGTATACAAAATATTTGATTAATTATTTTATTTTATCAAACAAAAAGAAGGGAAATAATAATTAATAATACTTTAATGTATTTTGGTAAATTCAAAAAATAATTTTTTATCAACATACCTGTTCTAATTTCATTTAAAAAATACAAGCAGATAATTATTAAATTAACTAAAACTAATTTGACTTAATTAATAATTTAATTATTTATTTAAATAAAAGTATATGATTTTTTAGTCTTATTCTATAAATCAAAAAGTAATTATTTTTAATATTTTAGTGTAATCATGTACAATTTTTAACGATCATCTATACATAATATTTTTTATTTTAATTAAATTTATAATTATTATATAAAACAATTATAATACAATCTATTTAAAAGTGTTATGTACATCTATAATAACATTGATTTATCAAATAGACATGATAGAAATGATTTTTTTCATTAAAATTAAAAAATAAAAATGTAGAGATATACGCATGTAACTTCTTCAAGTTTAAATAGAACCTTATTGAAAAAATAACACGTGACTCTTATTAAACTAATAAAATTAAAAATATTTACAATAACATATAATTCTTTAACTTTATCCTTGATGGTTTACTTATATGGTTTGGTTAAATCTAAAGTATTGTGAAAACATATATAGGTGTCCACATATCTATTATATTAAAATAATATAAATTTAAAAGTATAAAAAGTAAATAATTTTTACAAAGATAAGAGTTCAGAGTTATAAGTGTTTTATTTGAATAGGAGGACAGTTACTTTAAATTAAATAATAAATTATTTAAATTAAATAGGAAGGAAAAGTGAATGATTAAAAATGACATAAAAAACAATTAAAAAATTGCATTCATATAATATAGATCACAATAATAAATTTTAAAAAATATACTAAGTAGTTTTATAAGAATAAAAGTTGAAAATTATATAATTATTTTTTAGATGAGGAATTAGACGTCACTTTTGAACAATGAGGTTATTCAACTATAAATAATAAAGTTATTTTAGTTAAATATGTGATGCATTGATTCTGAATTATTATCATTTAGTGAAGACTACACAAAATTAATTACAAGTGTTAAGTACTACTAAGTTTAGTTAGATTGTCAATCTGACTAAAAAAATTGTATTAGATGTTGTTTGGTTGTATATAAAACATGCAAAACTTGATGGATATTATGTATTCATGTAGTTTTTCATCAATATTTTATTGCTAAACGAACATAATAGTTAGTATTGTTTGTTAGATCAATTTTAATACACTTATTTAATTTGGTTTTGATTACGTGCTTAAACAACAAATAAAACATAATTTTATAAATATCACGTTTTGTCAAATGCAAGTGTTTCATTTGACTTTACACAGATATGTTATTCTTACAGCTTCATGAACAAATGCAAGCTTTGTTTCATTTGATAAGCCTTTTTATTTGAACAAATACAAGTGTACTCATTTCGTTGGATAAGTTTTTGTTGAACAAACCAAGTTAATACATAGTTTAAGCATTCATAATACACTTCAAAGATTTATAATGTTTATTGTATGTGCACAAAATGTTTGTTTCTTTGTTTTTCTCAAGAGGATCTCCCATTGAAATGTTTATATCAAGATATCTTGAAAAACATGCTTAAGTTGTTCCACACAAATGACTTTTCTTAAAAAGTGGAATGAGAATCCTATGAAGTTAGCCAATTGTATAAGGTTTTATATTTCACTCAAAAGTGGAAAGAAGCTGCCTATAATAGGTTTGACAAGTCATGTCAGTACCAAAGATTTTGTGTAAAGAAACCAAATGAATTTAATGGTTTATGAAGAGTATTTAATTTGCTTACATACTTGAACATGTTATACACAATTGAAAGAAGATTAAAGGTGAATAACCTCACAACGTTGTAAATTAATATGCAATGATTTTTTTTTCTTAACTTTATAAAAAGATCTTTATGAAGAAGAAAGGTTAAAGATGAAAATGCTTACAAGAAAGTCTTAATGCTCTTATGCTTTTAAGAAATTCTATAACCTCTAACTTTTGAAAAATAACATTATTTGTGTTCATAACAATGTAGAAAAGTATGTATTCAAACATTATTAGAGAAAAATCCATTAGACCTATTTATTTTTTGATTAAGTGCTATCAAACAATAAAATATAAATCATGAATATACTTCATTTGTAAGGCACAAATTTTATACAATAGATCATGTGAGACATTGTGCTTTGTCTAATATTAAAAAACTCATGTGCTCTCTTTCATTCCTATGACGAGAAAAAGTCTCATAAGACAATATTCTACATGATGTAGGACTTTTTTCCATGAGCTTCTTGTCCAACTGTTAGGTGTCATCTTCTAGTCTTTTTGGTTGACTTTTGTAAGCCTAATTTAAGGCTCAATTATGGCCTAAGCTAGTCAACTAATATTTCTATAAAATCATACAATTACAAGAGGAAATACATAACTACACAATTTATAAATTTAGCTAGATGTTTCACAAGCAAGGATGTCATATTTAATGAGATTGGAATGATCATGTTGTCTAGAGATATAGAGAACCACAAGGAGAAAGTTCATGTTAAGGTCAAGTCTTTTAGAGTTGTATCAAATTGTTTAGTGGGACTAGACAATGAAACATTAAACAACAAGAATCAACCTTCTACTTCTCATTGAAGAAGGTCAAGGCGTGATGATTTGGACTATTCATTGTAATAGTCAAAGTGTCATACATCTAGTTGATGATCAAATATACAATGAGAGAACCAACGATATCAATGTTAGACTGCACTTTGTAAGAGATGTTATTGAGTGTAGACAATTTAGGATTTTGAATGTTGCTTTGTAAGAGAATTTTACATATTAAATGTGGCAAAATGGACTAATCTTCCAAATGTGTCCTAGCGAAGGATATGCTAGCGAGTTGACCTGCCATTTTTAAAATTTTTGTACTTTTAAAATTTGTTTATATATATATATATATATATATATATATATATATATATATATATATAAAAGTTTTAACTAATTATTTAACTGATTAAGTTATATAAGAGAAAAATAATTAAAATAATAAGAGATAACTCACTGTTAGTAGTAGAAACTCTAAATATAATAATAAAAATGAAAAACATATGACAATTTTTTGCAAAAATATTTTAAAATATACTTCTGATATCTAATAATTATATTTAAGAAAATCAGTTAATAATTATCTTATAAAGGGTAAAATGAGAATAAAAATTATGTATACTAAAAAAGTATCTATATATATTGATATAGTTGTTTTATTTATTTTTATTTTCTTTTGTTATCATTGAAACTGGTAAAAATACACGTATATGTACATGTAAGTTCATTTTTTATAGATAACAAAAAATAATAAAAATAATAAAATTATTATTATTATTATAAAAGTAAATATAAATAATTTTAATAGTTTTATTGTGAATTTATTTTAATTTTAAAAAGATATTTAAATTTAAAAAATGGTTAAATAAAAATTTATATTGACAAAATAATTATTTAAAGGATAAAAATAGAAAACAGAAAATACCCTTTATATAATAATATAGAAGTATAAATTTAAAAATAATATAAAAATAGTTATAAATATAAATATATAAATATAGAGGATGGACATGATCAGTTTATCTGTATAAGGTAATGTAGTTAGTTTCATAGGGATGGACAACGAACCCACTTGCACGTGGACATGCATGTCTTTACCCATCTCCCCGCGAACCTTACCACTTCTGTTATTAAATTAAGAAAATTATAATAATTGCGCGCAACCTACAAACAAAACAAGAGCTGTAATTTATAGGAAAATCATTAATGAAACAGTTAGTATTTTTGTTTGTTTTGTAAGAAAGTGTGCTAACAACTGATATGCAATGTATTAGTTCGGTTCCATCATCCCAATGAGAGTAGTATGTTGAAGGAGAGCAGAGGGAGGTGCGATTTTATGTGGAGTGAACCCATTTGCCAGCACACACAGGACCATGGCACTCTCGTGAGATAAACGAAAGGGGAAATTTTTTTATAGCCCGTACCTTACCCTAAGCACTTTCTCTGTACCTTACACAGCCCATTATCCTACTCCACCCACCAATATCCCCAATTTTCAAGGGATCCCTTTCCACTGCATTTTGAATCCTCTTTTTAGTGCAGTTAAACGATAACTAACCTCTAATGATAATAATAAGCGTTAAATGCACGTCGAGACAGTTTCAGCAAGTTTCTCTCACCCATTACCCCAAATGTTGTTTTCCCTCTCTGGGTTTTACTTACTGTGTCCCGATCTAGTTGGGTTTGGGCTTTATCTGATGAGAAAAGCATACCCACTTCAGTTTCTTGGACATGATTGGCAAATTAGTTCTCCAACAGATCTGAGTCTCTGTAAAGATGTGCGCTTTCTGCATTTATCTTTTTTTATTTCTCCTCCCTTTTTCCTTTTTTGACGATTGAATTGCTTTCCATTTGTGTCTGACTTTTAAACTGTGCATTTGTGGCAGATTTGCAGCACCGCAAAGGATCTCCTTTGTATATAACTTGGTACGAATCTGGTTAGCTCCATGAAGTTTTCGATCAATGTGGTCCAATAGGGAAAGTTAGTTAGGGTGAATGGATGATTGTGAATCAGGGCAAGCATCAAGGAAGAGCAAAGCTGCGGAGAGCCCAAGAGTAAGACCACCGCTGGTTCTGGCAGAAAAGAACAATGCAGCCACAGCAGCCACCACCAGACGCTCAACAACAAGGGAAGTTAGTTCTAGATATAAGTCACCCACTCCTGTTACTCCGTCTGGTACTCGTAGATGCCCATCACCAAACCTTACAAGAACGACGTCTGCCTCAACCTCACAGTTGTTTCCAAAGAGGTCTCTCTCTGCAGAAAGGAAGAGGCCTTCAACTCCTCCCTCCCCAACTGCACGAAGACCTTCTACACCAACCAATGATGCATCTGTTGATGGGAAATTGTTGTCCAGAAGGGTCACGGGTAGCCGTTTGCCAGACAGTCTATGGCCTTCCACAATGCGAAGTCTGAGTGTTTCTTTTCAGTCAGATACCATTTCCATACCTGTTAGCAAGAAAGAGAAGCCAGCTGCTAATGCTTCTGATCGGACTCTGCGACCGTCTTCAAATGTGGCGCACAAGCAGGCTGAAACTCCAACCGTAAGAAAGCCTACGCCAGAGAGAAAGAGGAGTCCTCTTAGAGGGAAGAACGCTTCTGATCAGTCTGAGAATTCAAAACCAGTTGATAGCTTGTCTTCTCGGTTGATAGATCAACATCGTTGGCCCAGTAGGTTAGGTGGGAAGGTATTCTCTAATGCATTGAACAAAAGCTTTGATTGTGCTGCTTTGAACACTTCAGTTCAGGGAACTGGTGTTTCTTCACCGAGAAGGTTGTCTATATCAGATGAATCACGTAAACCCTTGCAAAGGTCTTCCAGTGATGCTGTAAGGCTGGTATCACTTGTTGGAAGTGGCAGAATAGGAAGCGGGGTGAGATCAGTTGATGACTGCTCTCCACGTGAATTGAGACCTCACAAATCTGCTTCTGCAACTACAATTGCATTGGCTGGAGTCAGATCTCAGTCCATGTCAACGCCAGGATCACGAGTGTCTTCACCGAGTAAGACCTCGGTGCTATCCTCTCCTAGTTCAAGAGGTGTCAGTCCATCTAGGTCAAGACCGTTAACTCCTCCTTCTAGAGGGGTCAGTCCTTCTCGAATTCGGCCAACCAATTCATCCATTCGATCAAACAATTCAATCTCAGTGCTCAGCTTTATTGCTGATTTTAAAATGGGGAAAAAGGGCGTATCCCACATAGAAGATGCTCACCAATTACGGCTTCTCTACAATAGATACTTGCAATGGAGGTTTGCCAATGCAAGAGCTGAGGATGTTCTTTATATCCAAAATGCAATTGTGGAGGTATTAATTTTCATATGATGGTTTATATCATATAATTTTCCCAATTTGTTCTTATAAAAGTCCTTAATTAATGGTGCAGAAAACTCTCTATAATGTATGGATTACTACTTTGTCCCTGTGGGAGTCTGTGCTTAGGAAGAGGATCAATCTTCAGCAGCTAAAGCTTGACCTTAAGCTGAATTCTGTTTTGAATGATCAAGTAATTTTTTTATGAAATATATTAATTTTATGCCAGCTTTATTGTTGATTAGACATTGTAGATAATTTAATTTCAGACGATTCATAATGAAAATATGAGTAATGCAATATTGTTGTTTGCTTCTTAGACGAGTTTAATCTTTTATGAACTCAAAGCTTTTGATTCTGTTTGTTTAAAGTTTTGGAAGGAGTAGAATAGAAATATCTGAAATAGAGGGTTTATCTTTGTGATTAGATATCTGGTATTGTACGATGATGAGATTCCAATTTCACTTGCCAGAGTGTGATTCTATTTTTCTCCGTCTTTTTAATTGTTTCCAATTTCAAGACTTAGCCATGCATTTTAAATGTGAGCCTTTTGACAATGACTGAAGCTGATGACCTATCTTGATGATTGGGCTGTACTTGAAAGAGACCATATTGATGCTCTATCTGGAGCCGTGGAAGACTTGGAGGCCAGCACTCTTCGTCTTCCTGTAACTGGAGGAGAAATTGTATGTATGCTGGTAGGATGCTTTTTATTTCTTGGTGACTGAAGATGAAACAATGACGTCATTGGTATATACTTTTACAGGCAGATATCGAGCATTTGAAAGTTGCTATCTGTCAAGCAGTTGATGTCATGCAAGCAATGGGATCTGGTATCTGTTCCTTGCTCTCACGGGTGAGTTAGCTGTTTTCTACAAGATTTATATAGTATATATTAACAGTGGTGGGGATTAATATAGCAAATTAACTTCAATAATTTCCATCATTGCCTAGCACGTGTATAACAACTGTTATTCTAGCCAATATGTCTTTTTACATTTAAACCTCCGTTTTTTCAGTGGTTGAAGTTTCATATTTAATTTTTTCTTCCTTGACTTCCAAATTTTGTAAAATTAAGCAATTGAATATTGTTAAAGGCCCAACTGTAAAGTTTTATAATGATCAGATTATAAGGTCTATTCTTGGTTCCCACACCATTGCATTTTTGACTGTGCTAGGTTGAGGGCATGAACAGTTTAATTTCTGAAGTTGCTGTCATAGCAGTTCAGGAAAAGACCATACTTCACGAATGTGAAATGCTAATGGCTTCAGTAGCAGCTATGCAGGTGAGTTATGATATATGTTTTCTAGAAAATGAGTTACGCTCGCAAATATCTCAAATCAATCTTATATTGCATATGACCATAAAGTAGTTGCAAATAAATTTCAATTTTAAGCATCAGTTATCACTGTGTGCATTAAATGATTTAAATTTGATGTTATTTACTCAATGTAGGGTTTAACATTAAATTAAGCTGTATTTAAGAATCGTATTAGTGTACTGATAGGAGGTACTGGTAAATTTAAGTAACAACAAAAACTAAGCTTGTATTAAATATTTGAAGGAATAGGCCTAAATCAGTTTGATATCAAATCCTGAAATCCTTATTACAGATAAAGTGCACAAAGTTAAGTACTAGCACTAGAGAAATTGAGATGGTATGGCCTCTCCCACCTGTCTAGGGATGTCAAAAAATTCTGTGCCCATGGATATTTGCAATGAATATCAAATGAATACGTTTGATGGATACCTATTAGTAATGGATATAGGTAATTTAATTATACACTTGTTTACGGGAAGAGAATGAATATCATGTTATCCAACCTACGGATACAAGCTGCAACAAAAATCTAAACCTTGGTGCTTTCATTCGTCCTCTGTACCTCCAAAGCAACTCAAGATTTGGATGACACCCTCCAGTCCATCCAAGGCTGTTTATCTTCCTTCAAGTCCCACCTCAAAACCCAAGGTACCCACATGACCGGTTGCAATCTTTAATGGCTTTACTACTTGAACATATTTCCTTCCCATTCCCGTCATCCCCATTCCCCTACTCCAGTGACTCACAAAACCGCCTCACCCCACCCACCCTTGGGGGAACTAACATCCACATGACATATGACAACCCCTCTTGGCCAGTCCAGTTATACCATTACTGCTGATTACCAACGCTTACCAAGCCTATCTTGGCACCGCCACCTAACCTTCCTTTCCTAAACTCCAAAACTTCAGCTCAACACTTTTGAAGGACCAGATCCCTTGGACTGACTCTTCTGGGTCGAACAATACTTTTCCTTTTATCAAGTATCCTAGAACAACGCAAATCCATGACTGCCTTTCATATGAAGGACGATACCCTCAACTAGCTCAAATGGATGTATTATATCCAAAGAAGGATGTGAAGAGAAGGCAGAAAGAAGGTTTAATGAAAGCTGAATTGTATATTATTCCACTCTATCTGAAACAGAAACAAGTAGATCTTATATAGGTTCTAAACCTTCTTAACAGATTACACAAACAAAACAGAAAACTAACATCCAGAGGCTGGTAGCATATGCAGACCATAAGAAGTTCCCTTAAGATATTGTAAGGTTCTTTTAACAGTTGTCCATTGAGCATTCAGAGGGTTCGACATGAATTTACAAACTTTGTTGACAGCATAACTAATGTCAAGTCTTGTAAGAGTAGCATACTTCAAGTCTCCAAAACGGATATGTACAAAGTGGGACCGTTAAATAAATTTGATCCTGTTTTAGATAGTTTGCAGGATGAGACCATGGGTGATGATGTAGGTTGAGCTTCTATTATCTTAGTTTTATGCAAAATATCTCTAATATATTTACTGAGTCTTCACAACAGTTTTGTCTGAACGATAGTTGATTTCTATCCCAAAAACTAATCCAGTTTACCCAGCTGTTTGAGAGAAAAACTGGAGTGCAATTTGAGTCATTATGATATCATCAACGTATACCAGTATGTAGGCTGTTTTAGAGTTATGCTGATAGGTAAATAGAGAAGCATCACACTTGCTGGACAGAGAACCAAGCTGCAAAAGAGTTGTTTTAAGTTTGTCTAACCATTGTCTAGGGGCTTGTTTCAGGCCATAAGATGGCTTTATTAAGTCTGCAAACTAAAGATTTATCTAATACCTTATGTCCAGGAAGTTGAATCATATACACAGTTTTGTCAAGAGTGCCATTGAGAAAGGCATCATTAACATTCAAATGAAACAGATCTCATCAATCTGGCTTTATATTTATTAACCGTTCCATCGACATTTTCTCTTATCCAAAAAACCCATTCACAGCCAACTGCTCTCCTGTCAGGAGTAAAAGAAACCAGATCGCAAGTCTTGTGAATAAGAGCATCATATTCTTGTTTCATAGCTGAAACCCAATTTCTATTTTTCATAGCCTGTGTAACACTAGAAGGTTCAATATTCAATTTCAGTCAATACACAAGGAGACAGCATTCAAAAAATTAAAGCTACACATGACTACACTTCCAGTTCTCACTTCACCAGATTTTGCTCTACCATTTGTTTTGGATACCGATCCCTTTGTTGCATCAACACCAATCTCAGCCAAGAAGACTCTCCACTCTCCTTTTTCCGCAAGTATCAACAAGTAATGTGCCCTTGCTTACGGGTAGCCTCTATGTATGTCCAAGAGATGTATGGAATAATAGAAGTAGTGAAAAAGCGGCATCAATATTTGTTAGTGCACCCTTTCAAAATATATGTTGATCAACAATGCCTCAATGCTCTCCTTACCGAAAAGTTAAAACACTCAAACAATTGAAGTAGACAACTAAATTAGAAGGTTTCCAATTTGAAATATTGTACCGAACTACAAAATTCAATGTGAGTGAACATGATTTCTTGTAAATCCTTGCCAACACCATGATTACCGAACTACTTGAGTCATACACGCTCTCATTGCTTATTTGAGCAGCTTGCCTTCCATACTTATTTGACCTCTCTCTTCTCCTTGGGCCAAACCATGTCCCTTAATTGGGCTTGAATTCCATCTTCAATTTAAGCCCAATTTCAATCCAAACTACAATCATGAATTCTTTAAAAGTGAGCTTTAAGTCAAACTATATCTCACAAAGCCTACTTGTAAGACGAGGTTTGTACTTGTATACTATACTTTGGCCATATCTCTAGTCAATGAGAGATCTTCAATACACCTCCTTGCATAAGGGATGAAACATTTCTAGCATGGGACTAGATGCCAAGTGGCACGTAAGGTCATACAAACTTTGCTAGGATAAACTTTGATATCATCTTAAAAAGTGGATTTTAAACTTAATTTAGCTTTACAAAATCTGCTTATAAGGTGAAGTTTGGTTATATCTCTAGTCTATGTGAGATTTTCAACACAACTTTTAAGAAAATACAATTACATTTGAAAGACAATACAATCAATTCAAATTCTAATATGGAAATTACAATCAATGTAAAAAGAGACAAACAAGTATTTTATTCTTTAAAACTAATATTGATAAAAATTAGTCTATTAATGCACTCATCAAGCACCCACTACCCAAACTACATTTTCATCAAGCACCCACTACCCAAACTACATTTTCGCAGCCAAACGATTGGGTATGGCTATGCTTACAACCATTATGCCAAAACTTCGTCTAACTTTGTCCCTCCCACATACTATCAGCCGATTACTTTGGGCCTTACCAAGAGCCTTGCCATATAAGTGGCATTTCATACGGTTAAGAAGTGGATTTTAAACCTAACTCAACCCCACAAAATTGGCTTGTAAGGTGAGGTTTGCACCCACTTATATACTATAAATTGGTCTTATCTCTAGTCGATGTTGGACTTCCAACACACTCTCACGCCGAAGTATATACATCTCGAGCGTGAGACTAAACATTAATGGGTGGTCCGATAGTGGCCCGGTAGGGGGTGGAACAATATGTCCACACAAATCTCGCTAGGATAAGCTCTAAACATGCTTTGATACCATGTTAAGAAGTGGACTTTAAGTCTAACTTAACCCTACAAAACCGGTTTGTAAAATGAGGTTTGCACTCACTTATATACTATAAATTGGCCTTATCTCTAGTTGATGAGGGACTTCCAACACATACAAGCGATTCTTTTCACTATCCTCCTATGTGCACCCCTTCTTCCATGTATCCATCCTTCACCCTTCAAAGGACCAAACTAATTACTTCTCTCTCCCCTTCGAGACACACAAGTGCCTTGAATGCTTTAGATCACAACCACCCTAGCTCACTGACCTCTTTAAGTTTCCCAATGTCCCATTTAATGACACCACCCAGTGCAACATGTCACTACATCCTTGTACCCCCACACCAGCTACAGTCTACCTTATACTTCCATTCTCTCATTCTTCCCAACCACATACCTACTTCACAGCACTGACTGGACAATGCATCCCCTCTTTTTCTTCCTTGCCCTAGCCTCCCCCTTCCCAACATAAACCATCCCAGTCTTCCCACTTTGAGGATAGAGTGCTTGCTAAAGTGGTTGGTATTGTTAGGTCACATACCTCTGGCCTTACAAGGTCCAAATGCTAGCCGATTACATTTAAAACAAGAGAGCATCTAATGGTGTTATTTTCTTTTCACTTCTTTCAATGTTTTTAATTGTAACAAGGGTACATCACTGTGGCCCGAGAACTGCTGTTATTTATTGTTCATGAATGATGAAACATGGAACTTTTCTTATAGTCTTTGTTGGAAGTCCCACATCGACTAGAGATAAGGCCAATTTATAATATATAAGTGAGGTGCAAACCTCACCTTACAAGCCGGTTTTGTGGGGTTGAGTTAGGCTTAAAACCCACTTTCTAATATGGTATCAGAGCCATGGTTAGAGCCTATCCTAGCGAGTTCTGAGTGGGCATTCTATTCTTCTATTCCACCCGCAATCGGGCCGCTATTGGACCACCCAATTTCTACTATCACGCACGAGATGCCGGTTTTGTGGGGTTGAGTTGGTGTGTTGGAAGTCCCACATCGACTAGAGATAAGGCCAATTTATAATATATAAGTGAGGTGCAAACCTCACCTTACAAGCCGGTTTTGTGGGGTTGAGTTAGGCTTAAAACCCACTTTCTAATATGGTATCAGAGCCATGGTTAGAGCCTATCCTAGCGAGTTCTGAGTGGGCATTCTATTCTTCTATTCCACCCGCAATCGGGCCGCTATTGGACCACCCAATTTCTACTATCACGCACGAGATGCCGGTTTTGTGGGGTTGAGTTAGGCTTAAAACCCACTTTCTAATAGTCTTTATAGCTTGGTCTTTTCCGTTACACTGCAACCCATTTAGGATTACCGTAGCAAAAACCTAACAAAACGAATGCCATTTCTGATATCCTTTCCTTACTCTTGCTAATGTTTTGAATTCTTTGGTGTCTTTGATTTTGTTCTGCCTTTCTTTGATGATGTCAGCATACTTTAAGAATAGTGAAAATTTGCTGAAGATGCTTTTTGGAAGGATATATCTGTCCACGTTGCATTCTCTTGTAACATGACCATTTCCCTTTGTTCCACTTAGCTGGATCTGATGTTGTTTGCCTGATAAAATTTTGGATTGACCGTTTTCACCTGAGAAACATGTTTCTGAAATGGTGCATAGGGAGCCAGATATTTTATTTTCTTTTTGGAGATATTGTAATATGTTTTATCATGCATTCGATGCATAAATAGAATAGAATGCATTTCTTCATCACCATCATTATCACACTGGTATTACTTTCTCATTAATTTTCTCAAAACCAGGTTGAAGAAAGTAGCCTTTTGACGCATCTTATGCAAATCAAATAAGCTTTGGGGACAAAGCAAGTAGCCAATTTGGGAACCTGACCTGCTGCTTAGCTAACAAGTTTTAACTCATTTCTTGCGGCTTCTGCCATAGTATCATATCTAAAATCTTTTAAGTTTACCTTTGTAAATTTTCTAATAGTTTTTTTTTCCAGTTAAATATGCTGGAATCCATAGTTTTATTACACTTTTTCTTCTTTTTCCCCAATACTAGAGGCCGTAGGTTTCAACTTGTAATTTTTTTATCAGGATAAGGAAAAGAAAATGAAAAAGCAATGGAGCAAAGTATCATTCAAATTTACCTTTTGTTATTATCATATTTATTAATAGCTATGTAATTTGATTGTACAAACTTCTCGGCTAAGGTTATAATTTTCACAAATTTCCTTTTACATATTAAACTGCAAAATGACAAATAATGTTTTAAAAACAATTGGTTATAGATACTGGATACAAAAACTGTGAAAGTGTAATGTTTAATATTATTCACAACGTATACCAGGAATATTTTAAATATGTGAGAGTAAATTTGTATCAATTTTTTTTTCAAAATAAATTGTATATCTAATAACTTTAAGCAGCATAAAATATTGATTTAAAAATTATTGAAATATGTTTATTATACTTTTTGATAAATTTATAGTTTTGAAATTTAATAATATAAGAAAATGGTTAACAATAAGTTTTTCCCGTCTTTATATATTATTCTGAATAACACTTTACTAAAAGTTTGTGAAAGATTAAAATTAAAATTGCAAAATATAAAATCAAAGAATTTGTTTTACAAATAATTAAACAATTATATATGGTGGACAAAAAATATACATTGTCATTATACATAGTCTTCTTATAAAAGTATAAAAATATATATTTTTGAGCAATATTGATGGAATATATAACTAAATAGTTATAAAATATATGATAAAATTTATTAATTTATTATTATGTTTACTTTTAGGACAGGTAGAAATATTATAAAATAAGTAGAGTGAGTGTTGATTTATTAATAACCTCTATTTTAAAATTTTGAGAGGATGAATATAATATGACATCTTATAAAAAGATGAGTAACTTCCTAATTAAATTATTCTGAGTTTTACTTATAAAATTTCAAAACTTTAGTTTATAATTTTCATAAATTTTCATTTTGGCTTTAGGCATGGAACTGAATGTTACTTGTTAGAAAAAATAAAAGAGATGAACGTCATTTATTAAAAATATAAGGAATAATTCAAGAATATTGAGTGTTATTTTATTAGAAAAATGGAGTGTGTATTTTAAAACTAGAAGGACGTGAGTACATTTAGCAAAAGCAGACTTCATATGATATAAGTGTAATTTGCCTATAATATAATCAAAGAGATTTCATTATCTTTAACTATTTACACAAATAAATTTACATAATGAAAAAAAATATTTTTTAAGATGAAAGAAATATCTTAAAATTCACAAAAGCTATTGAAAATTGTAACTATAATGATTTTTTACTCGTTTAAATTAAAAATGCGTAGGAGATTTACAATAAATCACCAATAATAAAAAGGTATAACCACGTCCAACTAAAAAAAGTAAAAATATTAAAAAGAAGATATTAAATTTAATGTTTTATAATTATTTTCTTAAATAATTTTAATTATACTTTTAAATTTCATGCATCAGAAGTATACAATTTAGCAGTTGTTTATGCAAAAAATAAGGTAAGAAGCCTATAAGAACACTATAAATATTTATTATGCATTTATATTATCTTACCTAGAGATAGTACTAACTTGAATGTGAAAAAGTCTTTTGCATACACCTTCATTTCATTGGATACATAAGAAGTATAAGGACTTCACCGTAAGATGATAAGTTGAAACTCTAAAGTTTCTTTCCCTCCTCTTCTGTCATAAATGTATCATGCAAGAATTATTTTCTCATGTCCAATAAATATAATCTCTTCCCAATATTTCTTTACAATATCTATGACAGTAACATATACATCATATAATCAAGACAAAATTCTAGAGTTTGTTAACTAATATTTCATTAAATGAGGTGGGGGAAGATTTTATATTCCTGTGGTCCTTTTAATAGAAAAGATATTGATATTTTGATAATATTTTTTTGACATTTTAACATCATACATGTGTCATTTTGTGATTAATTTATATTGATGTTTATGATTATTATTATTGATTGTAGAATAATTTTGAATCAATCATAGATTATTTTAAAACTCCGTCCAAATATCAATATTCTAATCAAAATACGAAAGGTTTTCAATAAAACTTTTATTATTAATTGCTAATTGAGATGAATGTTTTTGTGTGTAATCCTAACAATATAACTATTTATTCATTAAAATAATAAAAGTATTAATTATATTTATAGAATGAGTTTAAAAAAATATATTTATACTATCAAAATTACAAAATTAATTTATTTGTAAGTAGTATGTAATTGGCAATGATTAATCATCAATAACCCTAATTCTAATTTCAAAGATAGGCTATGGACTTGGTGTTAGTTAAGATGTGGCTGGTATTTACCCACTCACATTTCATTCTAATTTTTTTTATAATTTATTTATTTATTGTTATTATATTTAACGGAATAAACATTGAAAACATTTCATTTTAATTTTTTATAATTTATTTATTTATTGTTATTATATTTAACCAGTATGTGAATAAACATCTTCCTGAAAAGATGCTTTTTACAAGAATCGCGTTTAGGATCTCTGAAATTTCTCAAACACACTCTCAAGCCTAACGAATCTATCACTTCTGTCTGGCGAAACCCTATTGGATAACCCTAAGATTTATCTAACGGTTCAGAACGCTGGTGGAAAAGTCAGCACTTAACAGAGTCAAAATCATTAGGCCGACATTGGAGTTTTTATAATTTCTTTAATGGAAGACTGACGCGCACATTGACTACACTACACGTGCCTTTATCTTTCTCGTTTTTTGCCCCTGTTTTTTAAGGAGATCCGAGGAACAGTGTCGGAATGTCAATGCCACTGCTTGCACCTGGTTTGTTGTCTCCAATTTCTCTTTAATTTGACTTTTTGAATTCATTACAGTGAGTTGAGAAGTTTTAAAAAAACAAGAAAATTGTTTTAATTTTCCTATGTTTGCCTTTATTGTCTGCGTAATGTTGGAGAAATTAGAGTTTTAGTGCGGACCCTGGTACTGGTATTGAAGGATTTTTGTTCTGTTTTTTCCGGAATTTTTCTGTCTGGAATTTAGTATTTTCTTGAGAGCAACGATGTTAGGTTTTATATCATTTTTAACTTAAACGCGAAATTAGTGAAATTGATAAAGTTAAATTTGGTGGGATGGGAAGCAATGCCCAACCAATCAGTATGCCCTGCTGGCTCAATCTTGAAATTTCTTATCAATATGGTTTTAGATTTTCCTTCGTTTTATTTTAATACTAGCTTGATTATCCCAGGCAATTACAAAATGTGGAATATAATTTGCTTCTATGATTTTTTTCAGTCAATATATTGATTGCTACAAGTCAAAAAGGATTAGAAAAAAGAAGAAAAAAAATCTTATGCTGATTTGGTTGTAATATAAAGGATGAACAGGGAAAGTGCATGCTACTTTTGGTTGATTGTTAAATGCATCGGTGTTGGGCTGAAATATTGATAAAGTACGATTAAAAAACGTTATATTTCCCAATCTATACTTGAATTATTAATTATCTCATTTAGTTATTCTACTGATTGTTCCATGGATGAAATTCTGTCTCTATATGATATTAAAAATTTGTAGAATATGATAACTTAAACTTAAAGCCGTTGTTGATTGATTTTGGTTATCACCAGTACAGCAAAAGAAAAAAAGTATCTCAGATTTTCCTTTTTTATCCAGATGATGTTCCAAGAGCAATCAGTCTATGTTTGATTTTTACTTAGGTCCAACTGCAANTGGTTTGTTGTCTCCAATTTCTCTTTAATTTGACTTTTTGAATTCATTACAGTGAGTTGAGAAGTTTTAAAAAAACAAGAAAATTGTTTTAATTTTCCTATGTTTGCCTTTATTGTCTGCGTAATGTTGGAGAAATTAGAGTTTTAGTGCGGACCCTGGTACTGGTATTGAAGGATTTTTGTTCTGTTTTTTCCGGAATTTTTCTGTCTGGAATTTAGTATTTTCTTGAGAGCAACGATGTTAGGTTTTATATCATTTTTAACTTAAACGCGAAATTAGTGAAATTGATAAAGTTAAATTTGGTGGGATGGGAAGCAATGCCCAACCAATCAGTATGCCCTGCTGGCTCAATCTTGAAATTTCTTATCAATATGGTTTTAGATTTTCCTTCGTTTTATTTTAATACTAGCTTGATTATCCCAGGCAATTACAAAATGTGGAATATAATTTGCTTCTATGATTTTTTTCAGTCAATATATTGATTGCTACAAGTCAAAAAGGATTAGAAAAAAGAAGAAAAAAAATCTTATGCTGATTTGGTTGTAATATAAAGGATGAACAGGGAAAGTGCATGCTACTTTTGGTTGATTGTTAAATGCATCGGTGTTGGGCTGAAATATTGATAAAGTACGATTAAAAAACGTTATATTTCCCAATCTATACTTGAATTATTAATTATCTCATTTAGTTATTCTACTGATTGTTCCATGGATGAAATTCTGTCTCTATATGATATTAAAAATTTGTAGAATATGATAACTTAAACTTAAAGCCGTTGTTGATTGATTTTGGTTATCACCAGTACAGCAAAAGAAAAAAAGTATCTCAGATTTTCCTTTTTTATCCAGATGATGTTCCAAGAGCAATCAGTCTATGTTTGATTTTTACTTAGGTCCAACTGCAAACTGAGTTTTGCTTGAGTTATGTCTTGAAACTTAATTTGAAATGAGAGTAAAATGATTACTGTTTTTGCAAACTCAGTCTGACAAAAAAATTCATTTAGACCACTTTGCAAATAACAATACAAACTTCAATCTTTCTGAGTTATTTTGTGTGATGGTGTAGAAAGTATGGAGGCTGAAGCATCGATTCCCTCAGATTCACTCCGGGCTCAGATTTCCAAATTTACTACCTTGGCCACTGAAGCTTACAAAAGAAAGCCAATCCATTATTGGATTTTTCTTGTTCTTGGCATCTTGGCAATGCTTGTGGCATTTCCTGCATCCAGCATTGTGTCTCGTGTTTACTATGACAACGGTGGGCAGAGCAAGTGGATCATATCTTGGGTGGCTGTTGCTGGATGGCCCCTAACTGCCTTAATACTGTTTCCTACATACTTTATCAGTAAAACCTTTCCTACCCCTCTGAACCTGAAACTCACTCTGGCTTATATCATTTTGGGTTTCTTAAGTGCTGCTGAC